TCAGGTGAGTCCAGTCATCCAATTCCTTCACTCAGAAAACTCAATGGATTGGCTTACTTGAGCTAAAAGCTTCTAAATTACCTTGAAGATTTGGTTAACTGCTTCTTTCACAACACAAGGTTTCCAGTTCTCATCTGTTGTCTAAAAATAAAACACAGCAATGTATGACCATCAGATACAAAGCATCTGATAGTAGATCAATAATTTATGATTTTGTATAGAGTCTTGCTACTCATCCCCACCCCCTTACCCCCCACCCCCCTTTCTCCCAAACACACATTTAAATACCATCCTTCTACAACATTTCACATCAATTTCATATTGTATGAAATTATATGAGGAAATTTTCCTCATCATACCTGGAACAGTAAGTCGGCCATGCTGATCCCAATAGAGAACGGATGATCCGGGTTTGTATAGGAGTCCTCGTAACGTACATGGATGTTACTGATCTGGATCTGTAAATTTTTTATGATCTGGGCGGCCATTTTCTCGGCAAAGGAATCCTTCTTGGGTTCTTTTTCTTTCCCTGATAATGAAACAGGAGGAAAATTTGTGACAAATGAAGTTTTATGTAAGTATAACCCATTGGTTTCTGTGATAGCAACTTTAACTTTCACTTTTAACTTAAAACCAGCCTCAAAAAAGAAGGAATGGAAATGAGCACTAACCCTGCTCTGCGGCGGCCTTTTTTGCATCCTCAATTTGTTGTAACTTCTTCTGCTTGGCCTCTTGTTTGGCTTTCTCTTCTTTCTCGGCATCATACTTGATTGCTATAGAGAAAAAAGTACCAAGGAAATTATAGGCATACAGTTGTTTATTGGGACTTTAATAACCTACTTAGAACTAACACCAGACTAGGGAAATCTGACTGTATGATGAAAACTTTGTCAACACTCTACTTGATTGCCAAAGAAAAAAATATAGTATCAAGAGAATTTAAGGCACATAATTGTTTAATGGGATTTTAAGACATGGTGACCTTAGAACTGTCACAGACCATTGAGTCAGACTGTGTAATAGAAACTTTCATATTCTTTCAGTCAACACCTTAAATATCAATCCCAGCTTTTCTTGATCAGAAACTCTCAACTGATAAGATGATTTAAAGGGTTTTAAAGCAACAGAAAGTTTAAAACTACATTGCATTTATTAGTGATGAAACGATTGTCGCCGACGATGGATTGTCAATCGTTTTTGGGTGTTCGACAGTCTTCGCCAAATTTTTTTTCAGCACATGCCCTTCGGGCAGTTGTGATCACCAATTACGCAAGCCCGAACAAATATTTACATGCCCAGAATTTTATCAAGTTATTTTATTCTTATTTGCCTTTTCATGCCAAGGAAATAATCTGAAAATCCATTCTGTCAATTTCTTGTCTCGCCATTTGTTTTCGACCTGTACACTTTTTGTGTCTCTTTTGCAGAAGAGTTCCTTGGAAATCGCGGTAAAATAAGATGTTGGTAAATTTTTTTTTTTTTTTTTACTTCACTTAGATGGAAAATAAAGACTTAAAGTACATTTTATGTTATTGGTCTTATTTAATTTAATTATACCGAGGCTTATGCCTTAGAATTAACATGCCCTTCGGGCTTGTAAGTGTACAATTTCCACATGCCCGCTTCCAATTTTACCAGGTCCTGGGCATCGGACTCCCGGGATTTGTCGAAGACTGGTTCGATTTCGATTATCGATTACGTTTTTCATAATCGATTGTCGCCCAAATGAACTCGCCCAAATAAACTTATATGATTTGAACGAAACTAATACATACACATTAACAATACAATCATGTAAAACGAAAGGAGGTCAACAAAAATGGCGTCCGAAGGCGATGTTCAACAATCAAGTAGAAATTTACCCATATACAGGGAATGCATAGATAGAACATTCTATTGTTGAAATGATATTTTCCTACGGACCCAGTTTAATGATAAAATTCATTCCGTGTATTCATAATGTAGCAAAAGAAACATGGGAAATAAATCATACTTTTACTACGAACAATCTAGAGTAAGAGAGTTCCGAATGTAAAAATGGCAGGTAAATTTGAAGCGAGAGAAAAACGTTGAGAACATTAATTGGATTTTCGTCTTTATATGGATTATTTTTTGGGATAAAATACATAAGCAATCTCCAAAAGAATTGTTTTGATTTATTTGGAAGTTATTTCCAGTGCAAATCCTTTCATATTCTTCAAAATCGTTTCAGAGCGTATCCGCTCCATTTGCTATATTGCAAGTATATGGGACGTATTCTAACTGTGGTGAGGGCTTGTACCGAGACACAGTTAGATTATTCTAACTAGAGAATGCAAAATCTGATGTCATGACAAACATTTTTAGTTTTCTGAGCAAATATGTAAAAAAAAAAATTGTTTCTTTGTTACTTATACAACAAAAAAGTTATCTTTAGAATAAACTTGATAAAATTTTATTTTTAGTTTTCCATAAATGATAAATGCTGTAAAGAAATAGAATTTTGTATTTGAAATTTGAGTTACCAATTAAGTCGATGATTGATCGATTAAGCTTCTCCGATTTTGACCAATTATCGATTATGAAATTTTCCCGATTATTCAACACTAGCATTTATCTAATCTATGTAAAGAAAAAAAGTGTTCTGTGGAAAGTACCAGTCTATGGAGAGTTTTTAATTCTTACATTGCAGGAGGTGACTTCTGGGACCTATCTGGGCATATTTTGACTTGTTTCATTTGTTCTCAATATGACACTTTTTAGGAGCCCATTTGATAAAAAAAAAAATCACAGGAGTAGCACACAGCCTAATATGATGATCTATAAAACTTCGTTGATTTTTGTAATATATTTATGCTATGAATAAAGATTTTTTTTTTCAAAAATGTTGCTTTTTGTAGCAGTTATTTGATTGAAAACGTTTACATTGTTTAGATGTATGGGATACTAAAGAGTCTGAGTGTCTGCACAGCTTATTAACTAGATAACGCTGTATTTTCACAAATAATAAAAAAAATGCAAGTATCATTGAAATCCATACAAAAAGTCCTTCTTACAATTCTTTGTCAGAAAATAGTGATGCGCCTGTATTTCTATCGGTAGTTAGAATAATCTTACTGTGTGACTGTATCGGTCGGGACATAAGGCCTCACCACAGAATCGTTCCGAAACGAATTTTAAGTATACAAAGGGATTTGCACTGGAAATAACTTCAAAATTAACTACAACAAATTTTTTTTAGGTTGCGTATGCCTTTAAACCTAAATTTTAATCCAAATAAAGACGATAATTCAACTAATATTCTCAAAGTTTTTTTTTTCTTACACGCTATGATTGCTTTCGGAATTCTCTGGAATCTTTGAGGATGCACTGAGTTCGAGTTATCGCCCGTGTTTTTATCGCGATTCCTGTATCATCACCACTTTTTAAAAATAGGGGGTCGTAATCTTACAAGGAAAGCATCAAATAACAAAGATTTTTATATGTTTACGTTTTTTATTCACTCCGTGAACAAGACAAACGAGATAACCAAAATTCTCTTCTGAAGCACAGATTTTCTTTACTGATTTTTGAAAGTGAAGTAACCGCCACCAGTGTGTAAGTAGACGGCGAAATCGCCGGTCGCCGGCCCTTAATGAGAACCCTGGGTACAGCTAGGGTCTATAGTACATGGACTCAGTATACAGGAATATATTACCCTACCAACATTAGGTACAGTGATGGTCTATATTACATTGACTCAGTATACAGGAATATATTACCCTACCAACATTAGGTACAGCGAGGGCATACAGTCCGTCAATCGTGGCCACCACTGCCTCAGTGTACAGGTTCTTCCATGGAATCTTCAGAGTCAGCTTCCCTGTTATAAAAAAAAAAAAAACTTTCTATGTTCAAGTTTAATTTTCGTTGTTTTTAGGGTACGGAGATACCCACAAATTCATGTCTACTATGAAATGTAAACTTTAATAAGCATTACTACTCAACACTTCTCTAACCATGAAATCAAATCCCCATGAACCAATATTTCCTTCTAAAATATTTTTGTCAATTCTCCAAAATATGCCCCCATGAAAATATGTGTTTTTACAGTATACTGTACTGTATGTTGTAATATCAATCTACATGTATTGTGTACAACTTAAAAAACACTCCACAAAAAAGAAAATAATGTTGACTTAAACATAGAAGTATACCACCACGGAATCATTTGCTCTAGGAACCCTTCCTGTCGGTATCTTTTTTGTTGTTTTTTGTGAAAATATCATGAAAATTATAAAAAAAAAAAAAAAATACAAATAGCTTTAAGATCATGTGAGTTATACATAGTAGATGTAAATAAACTTATTTACCTATATGTCCCGCTTTAATCTTGACAGGTAGGTCCAAGTCATCCTAAAAAAACACACAAAGAATTGATCTAATCCATAATAATTAATTAGCAAGTGTATAACGAATCTCTTTAAAAGGACAAGCAGAATGCAGAATAAAGTTTAGCATTATTAATCCTGTTAAACAGTATATATATATAGTCATCAATAATCCGGAAGTTTGACCTGACTACTTACTAGGGCGCTCTCTTTTAAATCTAAATTCTGTAGAACTACATCTCCTATAACAAATTAAAATAAAATTCTGTAAGTATTAAAACAATCAAGCCTTAAAAATGTTTGTTTTAATATATATGGTTTTTTATTTTTTTTAATTGAAATTCTATCTACAGCAGAAAGTGTGCTACAATTTCTAAATGCTTAATATACTTTTTTGAGAATCTAAGACTGAATAAAAAAAATTTCAAAGATAAAAAAATTTGCCTGAAAATCTAAATATCTTTGAAGAACTCATAAAGTAGTAAAACTTAACTTAATATTATAAACAATCTCCTGATATTTTTGTCTCTAATAATTGTGATTTCCTGCTACCACAAATGAAGCTAAGCTATGATAGAAAAGAGTTTGTGTGAATATTATACACTTATTTAATGACTACGAGGTAAATAGTCAAACTGTTGTCCCGAGGTAGTGGGGAGACCTGGGAAACTGTTGTCCGATGCCGATATAGACCATAGAGAAAGCATATCAACCTCTCACTTCATGCTCGGTCGATATGCTTTCTCTAAGGTCTAGATCAGCCTCGAGCAACAGTTTCCCAGGTCTTCCCCACTACTGAGGGACAACAGTTTGACTGTTTCACCGAGTAGTCATTGAATAAGTGTTTTTACTGTTTTATTACCAAACCTACTATATAATTATTTAAACTGGAATAAAAACACACAAACAATCAATAAAGAGCTTTAACAACTGTTTATTCACATACTTGTCTATTAATTAGCTGAACACATAATTTAAAGATTAAATTAATATTTAATAATTTAAATTTATACTTAATCAATTGATTGATTGTCTTTTATGTCGTGATCATCAAAACGCTTGAATATCATGATGACACTTTAAACAGGCAACAGTTCATTTTACTATACATTCATGTTAAATACTAAAATCCGATTGGTTTAGACGCAGTTAACAATCTGTTCTATTACCCTCAGCCTTAGCAACACACGTGACAACGGGTAACACAACGGTAATGCCAAATGCGTGGAAATTATGCACGTACGGTTCACCGTAGAATTCTCAAAACGTCAGTTGCATTTGAAAGAACCAGAATAAGCTTGACGTCAATAAAAGCTTGCGTCCGGTGTAGCTTACATGAAAACAACGACAGACGAAACATGCTTGCGAGTGCAGAAATAAAGAAACTTTAGATGATAAAGGACTCGTAGAGTATCAAATTAACAATAAAGAGGTCAGTAAATCTTTTTCGAAGTAGCGGGGACTTTGAAAGCTTTCTAAACGTGAACGAAAAGGCGATCGACGATTTGTTTTGCTGACATAGTAAATCAAGAAGACATTCAGTATAATAAAATGAATGGTGCCTGTTTTGGAGGGTAACAGTTGAAATTGACACCCCTCGGAAAACCATTGTCAACCTCCGCTGACTCGTCGGTTGACAATGGTTTTCCTTGGGGTGTCAACTTCAACTGTTATCCTCCAAAACAGGCACCATTTATATACTGTGACCCGGTCAACATATTTCTACTGTTTCATGATCATACAAAACATAAAATGAATCGTGAAACAGTACAAAATGCCTAATTACGAGGGGCTATCAAAAAGTTCGTGGACTAGCGCCATAAAATTAAAACCGCTTTAGGTTCTTGAACGAATTTTATAATATCTAGATATCATAATCATTTCTATCTATAGAATAAATCACAAATCATAAATTTTCTTTTTTAATAAGTTAGTAATGTTTCTATAACCAATGGTTTGTCCATGCGGCGCAACCTCGAAAACGACGTTTTTTTCTACCTAAGTGCATCTAACAAAAACTATTTTGATATGAACATTTGACGTCAAAAAATTCCGTTAATTCAGGTATGTGTTGGGACACTATTGTTCGATAAAATATTAAATTTTTACCTCATTCTGGAAGTTCTATGAAATTTTATCGTAAATTTTACACGAAGCATCCAAACAAATTTTGTCTGAAAATGACGTTAAAAGGGGGAAGGGTTTCCTTTTCCAACATTCTATAACGTTTAGCCCCCGGAAAAACTTGTATACACCTAAGAAATGTTTAAACTGGCTAAGGAGAAATAATATGCATTCAGATTACTTGATTTTTTAATGCTAAAATAGATCCAGAGAGAAGAGGGATGCGCAGTTAATGTCGCTTTGTAGTCGAGGGTTGAAAAATCAATCACGTCAAATAATGACATTGATCATGTGTTTTAGCCATATTGAACTCCAAAATCAGAATATACTGGCACAATCAACCAGGATCTCTCCCAATGTATAAATTCATTTGCAATAATATATGCAATGAAAGTCGCTGTACATTAGATTGGAAAGACATATAAACAAGACTGATTGAAGTACTTACTCAGCTTAAGGGAATCTCATCAAAATAAGTGTGCGAGGTAGAAGAAGTGGATGTTGAAAAACAATGACGTTGTCTGACGTCATGAAACTAAATGGCAATGGCGCCGGGTGATCATATAATGTCTTTTTTATTTAATAATAATTTGGGAAATAATGAGCGTATCAAGCTGAAATTTTCAACATTTCTTTATTTTTTGTTGTGTTATGTTCCTTATAAATGTTGTAAGCTCAGACTGCATAGTACTAATTTTATAGACTCAGTCCACGAACTTTTTGATAACCCCTCGTACATGTACATTTTATATAGTAGTGTCAACAAAAATGTCAACTTGTGTTTATGTCAAGTGATAAGATGTAAACATATCAAGGTACCGTACCGACGTACAGACAATGTCCATTATGTTGTTTACAAGCATTACTGTAACAAGTGTATTTCATAACCCCTATATCTGTACAAGGTGACAATTAATACGGAATGTATACACAAGTCCAGTTAACGTGTAATGAACACCAAAATAATATGTGAAGTCACAATATGAGAAGACAGCTATGAAAGCAGTGGCGGATCAAGGTATTTAGTAATATTGGGAGAGAGGTGCAGAAGGCAGAGGGTCTTGGCCAATGGGACTGCATTGAAACCCCCCATGGGTCTAGGACAATAGTATGGTGGGGGTATGTCAGCGCTTGATCCAGGTTTGGAGATTATAGACTTTTAGACCGAGTCAGAGTCATATACTGAATGGTAAGGTGACCTGTTCTGAGGTGCGAATCTATACATTTTCACTTTCAACATGTTACAATATACATAACATCCTGGATGTGATTTTTCAATCTTGTAAATAAACTGTGTATTGCAGGTACATTTAATCTTCAAATACAACCTAAGATCTACACCCCAAAAAATCTTGATCCGCGCCTATTGTGCGCAGTACAAATCAACAACACAGGAAGGTATCTATTTAAAGGAGAGATCAAATCTGTCATTAATATATCCGGAGTCAAGTACTGGCATTGACAACCATCAAAGCGCTAAACAGATCGATCGGGCATAACGCGGTGTGCACCGTACGATGATTCAGCCATGCGTGACGGATGCTGTAAACATCAGAAGCATTACCTCCCCATATCCCGATCTTCAGTTGCGATCTGTCCAAGTTCTCCACGAAATCTCCCAGATACTTGTTGATCAGATCAGCCACTAACGACTCGAAAACCATGTTTTATTTTCCCTTCACGGCCTTAATTTCCAGACGCTCTCGTGTGACCTTCTACACTTTTTTTAGGAACATTCTCGTGACTGCTCTAGGGAAGAGACTATTTAACTGGTTCTCTTACCGGCACCTGAGGAAACCAGTTTTTGACAGGACGTACAAAATAAATCAAAGTACTGAAAGTACTGATAAGAGTCGATGCTGTTTCTGAGAAATCCTTTTAACATTCATATTTTGGTAGCTCTTAAAAATAATTCCTCTGCGCAATAAAGCACAAAATAAATCGTTTATTTAATCCAAATGAAAGTAAAATAGTGTGATGGTTGCGCGTGTCGGGACTGTAGAGCCCAGCCTACTTTGGAGGAGTCCATAACTTTTATTAGAACACATCAGGTGTACACTGTACTTTTAGGGATTAGGGGGATATTACCTTATATTAACGGTAAATATCACACTCCCCTGAATTACATTGGTATGATAATGTTTCAAATGTAATTGTTTATATTTGTATTGAATCTCTTAATTATTACCGAATATAATATCCTATTAACACATTGAATTTCGATATCATTTGAACTCGGATTTCATCTTAGATACTGGACTAACCCTAGACGATCCAGTTACAATATATTCCAAATCAATGTCACTTCTTTTCCAAATCTATACTTAGTATAGACATTGAACATTGCTTCGTAGGTTTAGCTCCCCCACTTTCCACAGACACGTCACAGAATAGCTTAAAAATTGGGGAAGTTGTTTTGTTTGAAAAAAAAAATTGGTACTGAAGTTCGAACCTACACCCCCCAACACACACACACACGAAATAGGATATTCGTGTTTGGGAAATGGACATCTCCCTTTTTTGGGGGGGGGGGGGGGCTTGTCAGGTATTTGAAGGTATAATTTTTTTTTTTACACTTAGCCCCCAACTTTCAATTTGCTTCCGACGCCAATGCCAATATTAAAACTTTACTCTTCATTGAAAAATCCTGCTTTTTAGTTTGACTTCTATTTCTCCTCTTAATCCCCTCTGAACTAAACTAAAGGAACAGTCATTTTACCCGTATAACCGGTTTCTAGTTACGTCTTATAAATACAACCCACGTCTTTGAATTTCAAAATTTTCTTTATTGTTGTTTAACTTGTATTTCTCAGCTAAACAAAGAAATGGTACTAAAAAAAGCTAGGTTCACTTTATGCAAAGAATGACCTGTATTTATATCAATTATTTATCTTTTACCCCCTTTCCCATTTCATATATATCAAAATAAAGTAGACACTTGGTGCTTTCATTTCCTATAATAAAATTTCTTTCTGAGAATCCAGATATTGGAAAACAGGCTTTGAGGAATTGCAATGTTCTTGAAATTTAATTGCAGAAAACATGGCAGCACTATTAAGGCTTACTATGGAAAATCAATGGAATTTAGACGTGCAAAAAACGGGACCTTTTTAAAACTGAATTAATTTTTAAAAAGCTGTTTTATAATCACATAGCTTATATACTTCTTGAAATAACATAACACTCGATCTGGATCGACAACTTACCGAAAATTTTTATTTAGACGCATTTGTCGACACACTTTCCTTTTCTTTGACTTGCACTTGCGCGTGTTAAAAATCTAGGTCATCGTTTCAAATTGTAAATACTGTGGGAAATAATCATGCAGATATTACAAAAACACAAAACAGGGATAGAAAATTCATCCTTTTATTGTATTTACCTAGTAAGATTTTTAAAACCCGTCACTATGTTTTACTAGAATATATAAATAAAAAAAATATTCGATACTGGCAAATATTCGTTACTGGTAAAATGACTGTACGACGATTAAGATCAGACTCACGGTTTATCATGATGTATAAGATCAGCAATAACCTTATAGATATCCCAGCAACATCTTACTTAACACCAGGGGATACCCAGGTAAGGGGCAGCAAATACCGTCAGCCACCCATACATGTATATCGAGACGTGTATAAGTTCTCCATCTTCCCAAAAACCACCAGGGACTGGAGCAGCCTGGTTAAAGAAGCCAGTACCATTAGATTTCAAGAAGCAGGTAATCAACACCATGGCTGCTTCCTATCACCGTTAAGGCAGGATTCTTCTCTGGTTTCTGACAAGATGAAACATTCAAAGTATATTTGCACATACTAAGTATCTCTTATTTACTTAGGTGAGGGAGATGACTTTAACTTTTCTATCGTCGACTTCCCTTACTTATGCAACAATATACCTTCATCACCTGCATACGAGTTCATATCTCTCAATTGATTAGATACGCAAGAGCATGTTCTACGTATGAACAATTTCTAACGAGGCAAATTATTGACAAACAAGTTGATGAAACAAAAAGTCTCGTTTAAATCACCATTTCGTAAGTTCTATGGTCGATACAATAACCTTGTCAGCAAATGCAATTTATCATTGAGTCAAATGCAGAATGACGTTTTTCATACTAATTGTTAGTCCATTATTTATACACTGAATTGATGACGGATTTTTCCGTTATTTCCAGATCAAGACAAGGAGCACACGGCGGGTGTGACCGGTCGGCAGGGGATGCTCACTCCTCCATGGCACCTGATCCCACCTCTGATGTTTTGGAGGTACGTGTTTGCTCTGCTCCTATTTTGTATTGTTTAATGGACTTTTGATCTGGAATACTGTTTGTTATCTCCTTATGTTCGTTATTAGACCATATATTCTTTCCTCATCACAATTGTACAACTTTAAAGAGAAATGGTTAACTGTGTTTGAAAACAAACAGGGATTACATTTTTGACGGAATAGTGGCGTATGAAAATTTAGTTATGATTTTAACACAATCAAATATTTGAAGAAATTTACAAATGTAAGAATTAATGACAAGGGACTAAACGTTCAAAATACTTATGTCAATTAAATATGATTTTTCAAACAAACTAGAACTATAGCATTTAAAAGCTTCCAATCTAAGTACAGGTTTGAGCCAAAAGTCCGTAAAAAGTTTTTTTTTCTCTTAGTAAAGGATCAAAGCTTTTTGTTTTTGTATCTTTTTGTATCTTTAAATGACATCTTTACTATATGTAAAAAAAAAGAAAAATTTAAATTTATGAAGCCTATAAAATACGAGGGCTTTTCAATAAATAATGTGCTCGGTGCTCAGAAAGAAGCAAACGACGCTTTTAAATGATTTAGTCTTCATGATTTTACTTATTTATCTCTTTTAATTGAAACACATGTCTGTAACATTTCTATCCAATTTTTTTATTGTTTTTAGAACTCATTTTTTGGTATGACCCTTAGTATACTGGAAAATGGCAGATCCAATGATTTCCTGGACTTGTTTTTTTTCCTTCAGAAAGGTGTTTTTTCAAGTTTGGAAATAGAAACAAGTCAAAAGATCAAAGATCTGGCAAATATTGTTAATGTGAAAAAACATTAACTTTCTGTTTATCAGAAAAACCCCTTCACTCTTCAGGGCATGCGGGTTTGGACGCTGTCATGAAGAAATTCAA